ACTTTGAAGCATTTAAATTGTATTTACTGGATATGTTTGTGCACAAAGCAATGCTCCAGGCCCTCCTGGGAGTGCCCTGGAGTACCTAGCCAACTCCGGAGGAAATGGGCTGTTCCTGGACCGGCCAATCTCCTCCTGATTCTCCCAGTGCTCTCGATACTCCGGAGCACTCAGGAGCATAACAATTTTTTGCTGATGTGGGCAGTCGTGTCAGACAACAGTTCAGCGGTGCCGGGCGGTAGGCTTTGCGCAGTGCTGGGGTAGAGTTGTACTGAGCTGATAACCTGTAAATCAGCGGGAGGAAGACTAGAGCGCGGTGTCTAGAGCGCGATGTCAAACGGGGTTTTATGTTAGGCAAGATGTAAACTATGTACAATCTATAAGGTTGAGGACTTACCTAGAGTGCGATGTCAAACGGGGTTGAGCATCGCACTCAGGTAATCCTCGCTCTTTTATGTCTATCTAACTATACAACAAAGCGAATAACAAAGGTGAAACTAGCGCCTCCGGCGCTTTGTGCGACTAAGGGTTTGCCACATGGCAACGCTTTGCCTGCAGCTCCGCCTCCCCTTTGTCCTCATGTGGCGTCGGGCTGCCACATCAACAACCAGGTCTTTGTCGCACACTGCAATTCTTTGTTGGCCATGGGTTGGTGTCTGAGGTCCTCCTTGAAACACGGATTAAAGTTCTATTAAATGAAGTAGAAAAACTGTAAGTTCCGACTCATCCTTTGCCAGATGTGCATCCAACTTGGCCACTATAGGTTCCCCAAGAACTCTTCACCAATGCCATGTGATACATGGAACCACTCCGAGTCGGAAATTGTGTTGCCACAAGTGAAAGAAGGCGCACGCTTGAAACCTATCATACTGGATTCAGATTCAGATTCAGCCTCGGATAGCCCGCATTCATTCACACATTTGGGCCCTCACCACTATTGCTCTGGATTTCAGGTGACAGTGCCTGAAGGACAGACTCCGTTCACAGAGTGGCCATGGCTAGAGTATGAACATTTGGCTATGTCAATGACTGTGCTCATTAACAATGGGATGCTCACGATTTACTCCGCAACCTGCACAAGGGATGGGAATCCTTGCCACGAATGTCGAAAATTGAAGCAGCAGCTGCCCATTGCATGCATACAGGACCGCATTTCCCAGGGTGTCCCTGAGAGTACTCCATACAAGTACTTGGGTATGAGGAGACTCATAGAGTTGCTTAGACGAAAAGATCGTCAAATTAATGAACTCAAATTGGGCAGTCTCAATCGCAACCACAAACTGGAAGTGCTCACCACATCAAACTTGGATTACAAGAGATTCGCTATGGCTGTAAGCCAATGCAATGTCCCTCATATCAACATTCTTGTGCAGTCTGCACTTCGAAACAAGCACGGAATTAGAGGGATAATTCAGCTTCTCACAAGAGCGACATTAGGAACTTACCGTCCAGCTTACACAGAAGAAGAACACCTAATAAGCATTGTGCTGTATCGACTAGGGGGAGCAAGAGTTGCCGAGTTTGCACACGCTGCCCTAGGGACTCCAGGCCTAACAACAGTCCGAAAACATTGCATAACTTCAATACTTGCATCCGCAGTTTTCCCAAAACTGGACGAGCTTACACGGAACATTGAATCAGCCTATGAACACTGCACTCTGACAGGGAAAGGGAGAGTTGGACTTGTCTGTATGTTTGATGAGATAAAAGTCAAAGAAGGGCTGGACTGGTGTCCCTGGACCAATTCTGTCATTGGCCTTTGCCGCGAACATTCAAGCTCCTGCCCATACACCTTCCACAACTTGGATGATGCTCAAGTTATATGTGAAGAGCTGTCAGAGAAGCGCATCCACCTAGGGACAGAGGTAAGTTGAAGGTTTTGGTGGCATAGGCGGGAAACTGATGACAGCGGGATTAGGCAACAGTTGGAGCAATTGGTGCCCTCACCAAAAGCCACCAAGAATATATTGCACGGCCCTTTCTCATCAGTGCAACATGCAAAAGCGAGACAGCTGAACAACATGCAGATCTCCTTCGGTTGGCATGGGGAGCATGCAAAGAGGAGACGTCTCTAATAGGTGGCCGGGTGTATTGTCTTGCATCCAATGGGGAATCGCGATGTGGGAAAGCACTTGTAGCTCTCACAGAAAAGTCCCCCTTGTCAGCATTCTCACCCATATACCCACTCCTTCACGACCTCCACCTTCTAAACATGATGGTTGGAGATGATGATATCACATCCGATAAGGATTACAAACATGTCATGAAACGTTTGCGGCATGCTCACCTCCATCCCAAAGGTATCAGAGTCGGTTCCACCCAAATTACACCCTCACTCCTCCGAAGACAACTTGAATCAGCAAGCATTCCCATAAACCGCATCAATAACCTTCTCAATGTGGCAGACAAGCAAGATGTCACAACAATGATTAATTTGATGCAATTAATTTGGTCACTCTCACCTCCTTCATCCACGGATAACCCCATTCACCGCCAGGACCGCACTGCTTTGAACCGGCATTCAAAGCTGCTCCGATGGCTCATACTTCCATATATCAATGTCGAGCTTAGCCTACATGATCAGTTAAAATGCCTCAGTGCTGCGGCTCATGTAGCATATGTATTCTTCATGCATGAAAACATGCGTTCAGCATACATCCCAGCGGCTCTCTATCGGGACATACAGATAATGGTCAAAAATGCTTACTTTTGTGTTGCAAAAGCGAAGCTTGAAGATCCGGATGGGAAATTCTTCATTGTCCTTCTGGGCACCGACAGGTTAGAATGGATATTTGGATTCATTCGGGCAGAGAATGGCTATAACGTGAATGTTAGCACTTACAGCCTTTCTAACCGTGTCTCTGGTGCAGTGGAATGTCATGCGATATTATCCCAACACCTGGAATGGGACCGAGGACCATGTCGACTAAGGCTTCAGGGGATCAGTGACACAGCGGGTGTTGAACAAAAAGTGGATCACATCAATCCAGCCTCATGGAAAGGCAATGTACATCTTGCCAACGTGCACCTAGCCTCAGCATGGAAAGCGGGCTGTCTTCTTGTGGAAAATGATGACGATCTTGCTGAGTTTAGTCCGGCAATGAAGTTCAGAAATCTGGAATCTCAAATGGGGGCCGACTTGTTGAACCCTTTCGGATCAGTAGCACATGGGGACCATGATGACGACGGAGAAGAGCTCACCCAAATGTCGCAAACACAACCTCCAAGTCAAAAAAGCCTTATCCCATCTGGAACATCGATGTTCGGGTTATTGGATTTAGCAGATGAAGAATGTGCATGCCAGATTGGGCTCAGTTGTACCATCGAATTGCCTGATGGGAAGCGAGTACACAAGGCAAGGGTCCTGCGCGAGTTCACAAAGTATTCAAGCGAGTCAGGTTCCACGGACCGATTGAGGAGGGTGGCAAACATCTCGAAATTTGCCCAACCTACACCGATCCTAAGCCATCATGTTGGAGATGGTACACTCACAGAAGCACATTGCATCCTTGTTCAGGATGCCGTTGCAACCATCCTACAATGTGAGGGAGTCCCCTTCCTGGCAATTGCTCAGGTCAATTCAATCAAAGTGGACGGAAATGTTCAGACATATGTGGACAAAGATATTCTCCCCGAAAGTACAGTGTCTATTGGCATCCAAATCCTCAGTTTGAAGCCTGCAAATATCGTATTTTCAGATGGGAAGGAGGGTGATTGGAAGTGGGCAAGTGGAAATGACGCGAGCCTCAATGTTCCCGGAAGATATCTGCAACAGATTAGTCCAGGACTTGTTGAGGAACATGGAGATGCCTTACCACGTTCCATTGCATATGGATTCCAAAGCAGTGAGCTGCGCGATCTTGCTGCAAAAATGTTTCAAAGTCTCACAGCAGAAGAAATCCGTGGACTTGTTGAAACCCATCTGACAGAGGATTTTCCTTATAAGATTGAAGGTGCGCTGTTACAAAATGGTTGAGAAGGATTTCTCTGACCTGGTTTACAGGGAGAGTGTGTTTTGCATGCGAAGTTGAAGGAATGGAACATGAAACCTCGGATACTAACACCAATTCATGCCCACGTTGTCATGCGCTGACCGAGAATACTCCAAAACTCCTTGCACACATTGCTGCTCATGTCCTTTATGACTCTTCCATCGACCGTTCTAGTGAGCCTTGTGGTCTCTGTCAGTAAATGTAATAACAACCCCAGCTGGATGGCGCAAGGGCACGTGAAGAAGATAGATTTTATTTTTGGTCCCAGAGTTTGAATCCGATATTTGTTTGATAATATCAGGGAGTAAGCGAGAACGGCCCTGAATCACGTGCTGATCATACTCCCTTAGTTTGAATTGATATTTTAAGTGTTATGGGAAAATGATTTCCAACATTGCTATAGCCTGTGCTGGTTGCCCAGTGGTTCGGCTGTAGCTGGTCTGTTATATCGGATGGGGGTGCTTTGGTTCAAATCCCGCTTGGGGTTATTTTTCGTCGTTGTTGTTTTGTTTTGTTTTGTTGGTTTGTCTGTTTGTTTGTTTATTTGTTTTGGGCCTCCCCATTCAAGTCGATTCATTGATATTAAGGTCCTTCTATGACTTTGTATAAGTATTGCATCATCATGGTTCAACTTCAACTTGTGAACCGCAGGCAGGCAAAAGAAAGTATAATTCCACTGCAGAGAATCGAACTCCAGCACATTCAATACTCCAAACACCGAACAACAATTTAGCCACTAGGCAACCAGTGACACCGATACCACAGTGCAAATTTATTTCTCTATAAAGTGTTAATATCAATTCAAACTCGGGGAGTAACGGCCGCACGTGATTCAGGGAGTTAAGGGTCTTCACTCTTCCCCGATATTTTCGTGGTAAAAAATTCTCTAGTTGGTTTCGAAATCAAAAATTCTTTTTTTGATATCTCACGTGCCCTTGCGCCATCCAGCCTGGGGTTGTTATTACATTTACTGGTCTCTGTCTCAAGCCCAGCCGGTTTGTTCTCCGGATGCAAAAGGGAACAATCGGTGTCGACTTCGCCAAGTCAACTTGTGCTAGGCTTGCCAAATTCTCATATGGGCCTGCGAGCACCCCATCCCAAGCCAACCCATGTGGTAATGTCCCAGTTAAATGTTCTCGCTGTCCAAAAGGATCAAGTGCAGTTTGGAGATACAATCAGGATGCTCACTATCGCGCTAAGCATTCCCCTGCGCTCCCTCCTATGGAGCTTGCGATCACTAATTTTGAAATAGAAGGACTCAAGGTACTCTGGGACAATCGCCATACAGCAAACCGCATGGAAGTGAGGCGTCGGAAGCAGCGTAAGCCGCATTTTGTGATATCCGAAGCTCACAGCACCCGACTTGCTCTCCGGACTACCGATCTAGAAGGGTCAAGTGCAGCGAGCTCTCAGATGAATTCCAATGTTGAAGATAGTCTACAACAAGCCCATGATACCAATCCCTTGCCCCCTGATCCCTTAGTCCCCCATCCAAGCCCGGGCCCGCTGTTATCTGCCAACGAGTCTATCCAAACCAGCCTACCTGCTGTGCATCAAAGTGGGCGTCCTATGCGCTTGGTACAGCAGCTGGTGACTGCTCTCCACAGGTGCTGTGATGTGGAAGTTACAGCGGATGAAATCACTAATGGGTCTAATGTCGTACGCTGTCCGAAGCCAGGATGTGAGACAGTTTGGGTCAGTCAACTTGAATACTTCGACTTTGACAACAAATACTCATTATTTTCGTTAGTTTCATCGAGCTTGTCAAGGGCTTGGATCATATATTCCCCAGGGTGGAATTGTGGATCCCACGATTTTGGTAGAGCCCCCAAACGTCCACGCAAATATTGATTCACCCTTTTTGATATTACCCGACTAACAATTTACATTGTACATACACTCCATAACCTAATCTAAAATTTCCGCCAAAAATAAGTTCGTCACACCTTGATGACACCCTCCCTCCCATACCATGTGTTCGGCATTCGCCGATCCGACACCCCTTGGCAGGCACCAGAAAACTGGAATCGCGGGATTATCCAGGGTTGACCCGTGCCACTCCCGGTCACGGAGGTCCAGTCTTCACATAGTCATAAATTCCTTGCAATATCACTAGTATTAAGGGGGGAACTGGCTGTTCAAATCGTAGGACATAATCCTGTTTGTCGGGCCACCTGAGTTTTGACCGAATGAAGATGCAAAATGGGGGTATCCGAGATGCCTGAGAACTATAAAGTTAAGGAAGCTCGTAGCAACTGGCTGTCGCCCCCACGCCTTATCAGCTCGAGAGTAAGCAAAGTCCAACAACGGGCATCTCATGTCTCATGCCGGAGTATGAAAAATGAGAGACAATTGCTTTCGTACCATCCAAGACCAGACAGACAGTTTTCCGGATCTCCCAGGTCGAGAGGGAGGTAAAGAGTCTTCCGTGACAAAGCAGGGATATTATGGTGTAGATATCGACGTACGCTGTGACCTGACTCACGGAGTTGAGTCTGTGGCGTCGTGTTACCTTTCTTGGTAAACTCGCTGCTATGGCTGTTGGCAGCTGCGCCATTCAAAGCAAGTGCTTCGCTTATAAAGCGCGAAAATTCCCTTTACGTCTTTCCCCAATTCGCGTACTATGGAACTGAGCAACATATCGCTAAAACATGGACCGCCTGAACGACTCCCGTAAGTTTGATCGAGATATCGCCTAGCTAGACCGAATACTCCCTCCATGAGAACCGGCGACAGCAGTCGGATACCGTGTAGTATGGTATCCGCATCTACAGGCCGAGTCCTTAAATACATAGTCAATGAGTGCTCACGCCGCTTGCGTCGTCCGCCAAAGCAGCAAGGGCTACATGCTAGACAAAGGAGAGAAACGTGAAACTGAACTGGAACAAAGGAACAAGGGCACATTGCCCCAGCGCCACTTGTAACCTTAAGTTACTATGGCGTCGCGACGCCTTCCCCCCAAAAATGCGATTGTACGGTCCAGGTTTTCCAGCCGAGTGGATTTTCCCCTGACCGCCTGTGGCGTTGGGCTGTTACTCCCAACACTGCTTGCCCATCGTCATCGGTTTTGAGGGGTTCTTCCAGATAATGACGAGCCTTCACATAAATTTCCCCGATCAGAGGTATGAATTCATCGCATTCTTCTACTACTGCCCCCAAACATTGACGAAGCATTAGCTTGGATTGGAAGGGTCTATGATATCACATACGGTTATACCAACTTTAAAAGACGAATGAGATTTCCTAAGTGTTGAAATCTCTTGTTTCTTGGTACGCTGTGGACCGTCCATTGAGTCCGTCGGACCATATTTCTTGCGCACGGACATTCCCTTGAAAGATTGCCCGATGCTTCCGTTTTTGGAGTCTATGTTGATGGACAACTCACACTGTCATGGATGGCTTAAAAGCCACGATGACGAAATTTCTCTCACTCTCTCTCCCCTCAGTTCACGTATCTAGAACTGAGGTGAGATAATCTTAGTCTTGTTGCACACTGTAGTAATAACTAACAATGTGCAAATGTGTTACCAGCGCTTACACGACGCTAGTTCATAAATTTCAATAGTAAGGAGCCCCGCAGCTTCCTCACAATCAACTGAGACCTTACATTATGGAAAGTGTGGAATGAACATTGAAAGAGTGTTGGCATGCCCTCATGAATCGTGCGGTGCCTTCTCCCGGATCCCTGTATAACACAGTTAACAGGAAGGTACATAACTCTCGTGACCAGACCCTTACCGTGGTATCACTGGTGGTGCGGACCAATAATGCGCTGGTAAGCCGATGCATGCTACCACATAGAGCTGATGTCTTTGACCCATGAGCACCTCGCAGATTCAATTGTGGAGTAGCAATTAAAATTGAAAAGTGCCAGGTAATTAAGGAGACGACGCTATGGGCAGCAAGAGAGCAAGAACGTTGCACAAAGGTGGTCGACCTGCAGAACCTTGCAAGGGACCTTAATTCCGATGGCGCCATTATGTCATATGTACCTCATCTGCATAGCGGTGAGATGATTACACGCTTAGCAAGTCAAGATCTTGGGCATGAACATTCCACACTGTCGCAGTAATATACCCCAAGTCCATGGGATGGTGGAGGGAAGAGATCGATGTGGAAAAAGAGTAACAGTCACGGAATGCATTACTCCCTTCTATCTGGCTCCCCTACCCCATTTGGACGGGCAAGGAGACACTTTACCTGACTTCCTGCAAGTAATTCCATTGATTTAAATATATCTTGAAGAGCCGTAACAATCTTCAGCGTCTTTGAGTCGTTCGCTTTGTTGGTACCAAGTGACAACAGAAAGCCTTCGAATCCCATAACTTCGGGTTCGCTAGCTTCTGAAGTAGACCGCACAAAGGCATATTTCCAGGCATCATCTCTTCCCCCCAGTTTCTGGAATGGGTCGTCCATCACAAGTGTCCAACCCGTGCATGGAAGCGTGTGATCGACAATCACAGCAGGCATCAGAACTGGGATCGCAGAATCATCCACGATGGCTAGGATTGACCGCATGATGCACCTCCTCACTAGACTACGAGGGTCATAATCTTCCGGATCATCGAATGCCCTCAAAAAGTGATATATGACACGGAACATCACTGGTCCTGGGGGGAAGAATGGCTGTCCAAAACGTAAGACATAATCCTGTTCTCCGGGCCATAAGGGCTTTAACCGAGTAAGAATGCGGAATGGGGGTGGATGAGATGCCTGAGATCCGAAGAGTCTAAGAGGCTTGTAAGAACCAACTGTGCCCCGCCGTGTCAGCTCAATAGTAAGCAAAGTCCACAATGACAAACTTACACTCGAACTGCTTCTCGTACCGAAATATGACAAACGAGGGAGAATCGCTTTCGTACCATTCCGAGACTGATACGGCATGGAAATGCTGATTCCCTATGGCATTCACGCAGAGGAGCTGGGGGAAGCATTGTCTCAGCGCTGCAAGATCAGAAAGTTTTACCAATCCTCCCTCGGGATTCATCCAGGTCGAGAGGTTGAGATAAAGAGTGTTCTGTGCCAAGAAAGGGATACCATGGACTATTTGGATGACTTCTGTGAGTGTAATCGAGATGCCGCCTAGATCGAGCACTCCCTCCTTGAGAACCGACAGCAGGCGTTGCGTGAGTGGCTCAGGATATTGGTTGTGGGCACCTGAAATTTTGGCACAAGCCCTGACCACCTGCTCTGGGACCTGTGTCCATTCTGTACATGGGATTTTCATGAGGGCATAAAGAGATAGGGTCGGAGGGACAGCTCGCTCTCGCTGCCCACTTAATCCACCATCGTGTCCGGCAGGAATGTTACGACCAAACTCGTGGGGCCAACAAAGCTTCAGAGTTTCGTACGGAATTGTTTCAAACTCCTTAATCGACCCGATAGCGGCAGCCACTGCTTGCTCCCATCCCCGGTCTCCAGCGGTCCTGGGGACCTGCCCGGATGGATAATAAGCCCTCCCATAAGTTTTCCCAGTCAGAGGTACGAATGCATCGCATTTATCGATTATCGCCGCCTCAAGACCACTGACACTAACGAAGCAGTAGCGTGGATTGGAAGGGTCTGTGATGTCGAATACGGTGATGCCATCATTATTGTCTGGAAAAGGGCGATAAGATTTCGTAGAGAGCCTAGCAGCGGCGCAAAGAGGCTTTCCCACCCTTGTCTGAGATCATATCCGTATTCTGACATCCCAGAGAAGGTGCCGATGCAGTGACGCGGTTCGATATGCAGCCCCAGAGCAGTGACGCTATAAAAGGGCACGGATTCAGGTCTTCAGGGACTGAATCGAGGTCCACATGATATAATTCCGAAAGTATGGAATGAATATTGAAAGGATGTTGGCATGCCTTCATGAATCGTACGGCGCCTTCAAGTGCAGCTTTCCCTGGTAATATGATTGATGGGGACAAAAAAAGAGCCCGAAAACTCTCGCGATTAGACCCTACCGTAGTACCACTGATGATGCAATCCAACAATGCGCCGGTATGCCCCACCGATCCGCGCTACCACATAGAGCTGATGTCTTTGACCCATGAGCACCTTGTTGATTCGGCTTTCGAGTAGCAATAAAATTGAAACGGGCCAAGCAATCCAAAGGTATGGATGTGCAGCGCTAAAAAGAGAGATGAAAGGCAAGATAGTGACTCTGATGGCCAACAGCAAGGGGTCAGGTGATTTTACCAGGTTAGGCTAGTCAGTCACTGCGTTTAGAGGAAGATTTTCGCTGTACTAATCCTGTGTTGTTCGCTGCAAAATTCCGTTGGACTTACAAGGCTGCAATATTCACGACTGGAATTTCTGTTGGAGGAAGGGCCCTCAGCGCATGTATTTACACATGTTTATATTACTCTATATAATTCAAGAGTTAACTGCTATATGTTGTCCAACCGCCGTTGACCTGGTACTTTCTACAGGTTATGAGCCCAGGCAGCTCGCCTGGACACCTGAGGTATTAAGGAAATCCGCCTAACTCTCGTGGTACATAGCCCTGGTTTTGTGGCTGTTGGTGAAAGTCCTCGAGTTTGAGGCAAGAATTTGCGATAAGTCCCGCTGGGCACGCGCTTATTGAGAAAGTCCTCAGGATTGAGGCAGGGATTTTGTGATACTGTACTAACACGACCAACAACCGGTCACGCGTCACACGAAGGTCTTGGATTGAATTAAAAATCAACACAACTGAATTGATTGGGTGCCTCCGGCAATTACTGGAGGCCGTGGGAACCGGTTGTTGGTTGTGTGAGTACAGTAAGTCCTGCTGGGCACACATTGTTGAAGTCACGAGTCACCGGAACCTTCTGGGGCATTCTGGATTGTTGTGGGAAATCACTAGAATATTCCCATTTGCCTGTGCTTGCATATGCGCACTTGCACAACAGTTTATTTTACGTATAATATCATTGTAATACATTTCGTGTATGTATAAATATGCACAGATGTGCATTGAGCAAAATCATCAGAAAAGTTTCTAGCTTACCTCTGGTCTTGCGAGTATAACCGCTGAAGTAAGTGGATTGCCTTATCAGGAATCCCTACATTACAACACACATTAATTGAGAAAGTCCTCAGGCTTGATGTCACGGCCCTGCAAAAGGTGCCCATCTGCGATCACTCTCCTATGTTGTAAGGGGCAAGGGATCTACCACCCTAACGAGAAAGAGAGGGGCCACAGAGTTGGGAGTGCTCAGGGGAGGTCCGGATGAAGAGGAAGGGGGGAGGAGAAATGGTCTGGGTGCGATGTGATAAAAATGAGAAAACTCGTAAATCTCACTAGAAATCAAACTGATGGGAACTCTGTCCCTGCACTATGTCTTGAGCCTCTTTGGCTTCGTATTTGCCGCTCTGGGCGCTGGTAATGTCTGCTAGAACTTCATGTTCTTGTTGGGAGCACCTCTCTCTGTTGGGGGAGTCCTTTTTGTAAATACAGGAAGAGGGTAACTATAAATATGAAAGAAATACGTGGAAATCTGAATGATCCGACGGGTTTAGGACGGCAACAGATCCACAAGGAACAAATAAGAAAAAAGCAATATCAAAGAAATATTGACGTTGTTAAGGAAATAAAGAAACATGGCAATCGCCTCAACCGCTGAACCAAATCCGTCGCTCGTAACATCGTTCGACTCATGTTAACAAGGCTTTCCAACGATACCAAATTCGTCCGGATTGGTGGAGAATTGATGGAGATATGGAGGAAGCGGTGCGGGTGACAGTTGCCCAATTTGGAAACTGATGGTTGTCCATGGTCGGAATGGCTTGAAAAAATCGGAAGAAATATGAAAAACGTGGAAGGAATATATGGAACAATGGTAGATGTGTTTCGGGAGTGGGGTGCTTGACGTGGGTGGTAGAATCGCGATAATCGGCTTGTTTGCATGGTACCGGCTGTGCCTGCCTACAACGTCCCCACCACCCATCCGCCCTGTCAGCTTTCTCTGTGAAAGGGATCTTACTTGTTTTGGGGACAGTACGTTCCGTTCCCCCGTTCACCTCAGGCCTCAGTTGGTCCGTCTAAGTATACGCTTTGATGGGCTGTATATTAATGGGGTAGAAGTAAAGGCTGATCTGCCTTTTACAGCTACCCTGAGGGTTTATATACATTCTAATGCATTCTCGGCACAAATAAATAGAGAAGCTTCCGCGACGCTAAATTAGTGTCGCGACATAATTATCAGACAACAAAACAAATTGATGTTGTGGGCGGAATATAGACATGGGCCGGGGCCTCACATCCTCCTCCCTTGTGATATTAAATCACAGACAGGGTACAAGCACAAATACACAAGGGGAAAACAAGCATTTTAAAGAAATAAAATTTTAATGTTCTACATACAAAAAGATGTATGCAAATGGGGGCACACTCATTGCAGGAGGCTATAATAGTAGTTTGTAGGTGAAGCCCACTTAGAGTTTCTGCTGGAAACATATGCACCCAGATCTCAACGACAGAGTTGTTGACAATGAAACGACTTTCTTGTCATTGTGAGTTCATTAAATACCATCATTGACAGTGATGATGTTGACAGTGGAGGTCATCGATGAAGAGGAAAGTGAATAATCAATGATGTTGTCGTTGACGAAAGAGGAAAGGTACAACGCAGATAATCAATGACAGCATTGTCATTGACGAAAGTAAGAAAGTTAATAATCAATGACAGCCCTGTCGTTGACGAAGGTAGGGATATGAGGGATCAGTTCCTCATCCGTTTATGGGCGCGGACCCGGATGGGCCAGAGCCGGATGGGTGATTTCAACGTGGTCCTACAAGTCATCATGGACCTTGCTGCATCGACAGCAACATCGTCGCTGAGATAGTTGTTGTTGTAGTGACAAGTCTTGACATTGTTAGAATGGGGCGGAAACGGACGACTCCGGAGTGGAATCGGAGACTTAGCGTGGAGGGACCTTGGCCTCAGCGACTCAAGCGGAGCGCTGTGCCATTGCTGTTTGTCCATTTGGTCCTTAATTTCACAGTAGGTGAGCAGGAAGTCTCTTGGGGGCATTTCAGGTCGATTTCGGACTGAAACCAAGACGAGTATGTACAAGCGCCGATATATATAATGGAAGGGGCAAAAGCACAAAGAGAACAAAGGGTGACCGAATCGGAACGAAGACGTCCGAACGGGAACAAAGGGTAGAGGGAGCGGAGCGGTACCGAAGGTCATAGGGCAAGACCTGTGATACGTCCGAAAGGAGGTAGAGAGGGCGAGGCCCAGAGGGGCAGGAGGATGAGGGGAAGTGGGGATGATGACTAACTGGCTAGAATAGAAGGAAGCAGTAGTCCAAATAGGGATGAAGGGAAAATGCGAGAAATACATTACAGGCGGCGAGAGCGCCGAAGGCGGTCCGCGAAGCTCGGGGGTTGCGGAGCTTATGGAGGTTACGGAGGCGGGGTTGGAAGTCCGAGGAATATTGGCAATGGTGTTTACGTAGTATGAGGTCACCAATGCAATGGACTAAGGCCGAGGTGGAGTCAAAGTCCGAGGTAGGGACTATGACGGAGGCTCGGAGTAAGGTACGAGCGGTGTCCGAGTGCGAAGTACGGAACAACGGTAGAAGGTCGTAACTTGGCGGAAGGGTGGTGGAGGAGTAACGGAGGGAGGAGAGAGTGGCGGAAAGGAGAGTAGTCAGGTCCGAAGGTGAGTATCGGAGCGGACGGGGGAAGCATAGGAGGTTAACAGGAGGGTGGAGGTGTTGTGAAGGGGGAGCGGAGTAGTAGGAGGAGGTGTGTTGCCAGGACCGAAGGTGAGTATCGGAACGGCAGCGGTAGGTTATGACTCCGGAGGTGAAGACGGTGGAGGTCCGGAAGTCGGGTCGGGGTCGGGTATGCACGGATATGACAGACATCAGCGTCATTCATGGATGAATCCTCGTCTTGACGACGGTGCAAGTAATGGGTATGGTGCACGGGATGGCCATGTCCAGGGGAAGTGGAGGGAGCACACTGTCAGGGCAC